GATAAACAGTACAAGTCGTGCTAAATTTATTTACATAACTAAACAAAATGATTATAGAATTAAACCTTTAAGAATTGAATGCTCATATCAAACATTTTCCACATTAAATACACACGTGTTTTTCAGAAGGGAATTTAGTCGAACTTTTTTCACGATGGAATTTTGTTTTGAGTCGTTTCAACAACAGTCGCTATCAAGACATTACGTGAAAAACCCCAGTCACAGTACTTGCTCTCGTTGTAAGGTCAAAGCTAGTAAATGTGTAACCGGCCTCTTACATAACGTCAACCTGTTGTATCGTCGAGCACGCTTGCGGCTTATTGCCGAAAATGCGACAAAGGATGAACTACGACTGTTGTCACTACCAAAAATAACAAACGCTTTAACTCTATTAGAATACGTGGAGCTAAGCTGCTCTAGCTCTTTCAGTGATGTTGTAGATACCTCAAAGCTTAGAGGAAACAAGAGCTAAGAAAAAGGATTTGCAATGGTTCCTCCTATGATACTTTGGACTTGAACTTCGCTTCAACGACCTTCTGAAGTCTTCGTGAAGTCGGCCATTGCTTCGCATGCAATGGAGAACCCGTGTAGAACACAGACCAATTATTTCTATCAGGGAGGGGAGGCTCTTGGTATTAAAGAAAACATTATTTATTATTAATTTTGAAGATAAAATTCTATTTCTATAACGATAAATATTTGACTGATATTTAATAAAAGCTTTTTTATAAAGATTTTCAATTTCTCTTTGCGTTTTAGCTTTGACTTTTCGGATAGAATAAAATGGCAGGCAGCCTACTCCACTGGGTCGAGTTTTGCTGTGCAAATTCCTCCCGTCGGGGGGTTATGTTTACAACATAAGCTTGTCAGCTTTGCGCTGATTGGCTAGTCGCATTTTCTCAAATCACCCAGTGAGTTACAAACGGTATCCCTGCGCCTCTGTACAGTCATCTGTATGAGGCCTGAATACTCTTACCATTCGTACCGATCGAACCATTGGTAATCTTGTTATACCACTCGTATAGAAGGAATTCGATTGGTAAATCATGACCTCACTGTCGTTGCTATGAAACAGTCAATATTGCGGGCGATCTGTTGACATTAGCAATATTTGTTTGAGTGACAAACGGTATCCCTGTCACTCTGTGCATMCATCTGTATRAGGCCTGAACACTCTTATCATTCTTACCGATGGAAACATTGGTAATTCGATTGGTGAATGGTGACCTTTCTCTAATTCCTATCAAACACTCAATCTTGTACACATTTAT